TCAGGAGCTTTCCGTTAATCACCGCTGCTTGCTATGGGGGCACTCGTACATGCTCGCTCTTGTGCCAGCTCTCTGTGTCTGACACACAAAGTGGGGCTCGCGCAACCCCCCCCCATTCCCTCCTCACCGGCTGTGATTGACAGCAGCGGGAGCCAATAGCTCCTGCTGCTGTCTCTGAGCCAGAGAGGATGGAGAGAGCCTCTGCTCTTGTGCATACCGCTGGATCGAGATCGGGCAGAGGTAAGTAAAGGGGGTGCTGTGGAGCTGCATACTGAAGGTTTATTACTTTCATGCATACAATGGCCTTTTTTTGGCCTTTAGAACCACTTTAACCCTCCAGAAGATTTACCCCCCTTAATGACTGTCATTTTTTGCTATTTGGCACTGCGCTATTTCAACTGGTAATTGCGCTGTAATGCAGTGCTGTGCCTACACAAAATTTGTCCTTTTTTTCACACAAATAGAACTTTCTTTTGGTGGTATTTGATCACCACTGGGTTTTTTTATTTTCTTGTGATATTAACAAAAAAAAAGACAGAACATTTTTAAACCCAAAAAAAAATTTGAAAAAAAAAAAAATATCTACTAAATTCAAAGTTAGTAATACATTTAGGCCAAAACGTATTCTGCTACATGTCTTTGGTAATAAAAATCCCAATACGTGTATATCAATTAAAGGTGTAGCGTCTACAAACAATGGTATATGTTGAATTTTACGCAGTTTTTACTTTCTGGCTGCCTATCATGTTTCTTGAGGTGCTAAAATGCCAGGGTAGTACAACCCTAACCCCCCCCCCCCCATGACCCCTTTTTGGAAAGTAGACACCCCAAGAAATTTACCGAGAGGCTTGTTGAATCCATGGAAGATTTCATTTTTTGCCACACATTTTTCGAAAATGATAATTTTGCTCATGCATGCAATGATAATTATGCTCATGCATGCAATGGGTATATGTGAAATAACACCCCAAAACCCATTCTGCTACTTCTCCCGAGTATTGGGGGTACCATATGTGAAAGGCTTTTTGGCAGCCTAGCTACATACAGGCTATGAAAATCCAATGACCACCTCCAGGCTTTCAAAGTCCTTCCTTCCTTACTGACTATCACACATTCAAAGCCCCTAAAACGCCAGGACAGTACAACCCCCCCCCCCCCCCTCAAATGACCTCTTTTTAGAAAGTATACAACCCAAGGAATTTAATAAGAGGCATGGTGAGTCTTTTGCAGGTATACTTTTTGGCACAGGGTTTTGATAAAGAAAAGAAAAATACATTTTAATTTTCTTTCTTCGCTTTCCAAAAACCTGTGGCAACAAATAAGATCTGCAAAATATTCATCTTGCCCCTTAACAAATACGTTGGAGTGTCTACTTTCCAAAAAGGAGTCATTTGGGGGGTAGGTTGGTTGCTTCTACTATTCAGGCCAACATTAGAAGCTTATGCCACACATGACTCACTCTAACTATTTGAAGACCAAGCCTTTTCTGACAATTTTTGTTTACATGAAAAAAAAGATTCTTTTTTGCTAGAAAATTACTTTGAATCCCTAAACATTTTATTTGCACGCACACACGGGAATAAAATTTTTGCCCAGAGCTGACGCTCTCCTGCATATTGTGGATGGGCAAGCGGCAAGTAGTTTAAAAAAATATTGAGAGAATTTTATTTAACTTTTTAACAGTTTTTTTTTAAAGACTTTCATCAGAGTAGTACAATGTTACCATAGTAATAGGGATTTGTTTGTTTTTTTTTTGGATTTTTTTTTACACTTTGCATTGCAGGAGCAATAAAGATGAATGGGTTAAGTTCATGACAGCTCAAAATACAGTGATCTGTGATTGGCCCAAGCTGGTTACATGGTACAGGGTGCTGTGATTGGTCCCATGTATCATGTGAAAGCTGAGGGCCAATCACAGTTAACCAGGAAGAGAAGCAGACCTGTTATGAATCACATTGTCAAGTCCGGGGGGGTGTTTGTGCGCTCACCTTGGTACAACACCAGCGACATACCAGCTTGTCCTGAAGATGCTGCCCGTCCACAATACACTTCAGGTAGGTGGACAGACAGAAAGTTGTTAAAGATCCCTTTCTCACTGGAATACACCTTTCCAGCATGACAAAAGCGCATCAGAATTATTCCACTTTAACCACCTGTTGGCTGTTCACAATAAATGTACTGTGAGTCAGCGGCAAGTGCAGGCACAATCACATATATCTACGTGATCAGCTTTCTTCCAGGTTTGAGCTCACCCCCTGCTGACCTCTGATTGGACACTGCACGAGTTTGATAGCTGATTACAGCCAATGATCGCCTGTGTTCAATCACAAACAGAGTTCTGTGTTTAAAAAACACAGAACTCTGTGTACAGGGAACAGATATATCATAAGGTAAAAGCAGCACATATTACACACATTATGGGCCCTTTCACACGGGTGGACTGGCTGTTTTTAAGGCGTTACCAATTGGACCACCCATTGTCCTCTATGGGGAGGCAGATGTAAACAGACGTGTCTGTTTGCACCCGCCTGCATGTGATCCGCTAAAGAGAGACAGATGAGGGGTCTGTTCCCCAACCGTCCAGTGGATTGGATCAGAACGGATGACAGTCGGATATAAACAGAATGGTGGTCCGTTTACATCCGACCGCCCAATAGAGAACGGCAGGCTGTGATCCGCTTGGCGGAGTCTGACCATGTGAAAGAGCCTTAACACTTGCTAGGCACACAGTTAACACATTGATTGCCCCTAGATGTTAACCCATTCCCAGTCAGTGGTGTTAGTACAGTGACAGTGTACAGTATTATCACTGTATTAGTGTCACTATCGACATCTGTGTCATTCAGTTGGTGTCCCTTCCAGCCAGTATCTGTTAGTGCCAGATTGCCCAGGCACACTATCAGAGTCCCACTATAAGTTGCTGATCACCAGTATAGTGTCTGTAGCTGTGTAAATTCCAGTGTATATCCAATAGTTTATAGACACTATAACTTTCACATAAACCAGATAATATACACTTATTGGGATCTTTTTTTTACCAAAGACATGTAGCGGAATACATTTTGGCCTAAATTTTTATGAAGAAATTTTGATTTTCTTAAATTTATTTCTTGGATATGCTTTTTAACATAAAGTGAAATATATTGTGTTTTTCCCAAAATTTTCTGTCCTTTTTTTTTTGTTCATGTAGTAAAAAATAAACATCCCAATGGTGATCAAATGCTGCATTTTGCACTGCGGTTTGAAAAGACATGCATGCTACATCTATGTCAAAAGTGCACCAAAGATGCACCTTCCATTTAAGTCTATGGAAAAATGCACCAAAAAGGCACCCAGGGTGCACATTTTAGGTGCATTTTTGGGGTTGAGGTTGGTTAATTCTAGTTGTTAAGGAGCAGGCACTCATGTGGGCTCGCTCCCAAGCCACGATCTGTGTGTTCATAGGCTGGCAGTGTGAATGCAGTCTTAGGGAAAAGACTAATTCTTTACCTAACACTGAATATTAAATAATAAGGGCTAATTTCAGGGGATAGGTTAGGTGAGGTTGGGTGAAGGAAAATGTGAGTATTAATGTTGTTGTTGTTGTTATTATTATTATTCAGGATTTATACAGTACCAACAGTTTGTGTAGCAATTTACAACATCAAGATAGACAGCCTAGTTACAATACAATTCAATAGAAGAGGAGTCAGAGGGCCCTGCTCTTTAGAGCTTTCAGTCCAAAAGGGAGGGTCAAGAGATACAAAAGGTTATAACTGTAGTATGTGAGCTGATGGAGAAAATGAACGTTTTGTTTTTAGATGGAGGTGGGATAGGCTTTTTCAAGAGATGGGTGTTCAGGGATTGCTTAAAGGTGGATAGGGTAGGAGATGGACAGGTTGGGATAAGGAGTTGCAGAGGATGGAAGAAGCCCTGGATAAGTCCTAGAGGCGCGCATACGAGGAGGGGACAAGGGAGCTAGAGAGGAGCTGGTCTTGGGAGGAGTGAAGAGAACGATTCGGTTGGTATTTTGAGATGACGTTCGTGATGTAGTTAGGGGCCGAGTTGTGGATGGTAAGTTGTTCGTACTTTGAATTATTTGCTGGGTGAGTGGAAGCCAATGGAGAGATTGGCGGAGAGGATTAGCAGACACTGAACAGTTGGTAAGGTGGATGACTCTGGCAGCAGCATTCATGATGGACAGAAAAGGGGCTAGCCTATATAAAGGCAAGCCAATGAGGAGGGAGCTGTAAAAAGTGAGGTGAGAGATGACCAGGGAATAAATTATAAACTTGTAGTGTTGGTTAGGAAGGGGTGTATTTTGGAGATGTTGCGAAGGTTGAGGCTGCAATATTTGAACAGTGATTTGGATGTGGGGCTATAAAGGAGAGTTCAGAGACAAGGATAACACCTAGCATCTTGGCATACGGGTCTGATTGGTAGTTGTGCCATCAATCTCAATAGGGAAGTCAGGGGAAGGGGCATGTGAAAGAGGAAATATTTGGAGCTCCGTTTTGAATAGATTGCATTTGAAGAAGTGGAGTGACATCCAAACTGATGTCTGTTAGTAAACTAGCAATGTGTGAGAAGACGTTTGGGGCAAGCTGAGGAGTTGAAAGATAGATTTGAGTGTTGTCAGCACTAACATAAGTGTTTGAGATGGGCAATGGACCATATGTCTGGCACCTAAAAATAAAGTACAGGATTACTTACCATAGACCATTTTTGCACGTTGAAATAAGCCCAATCCTTCTGGCTCCTTTCCGTCCGATAAAATTATAATATTTATGCATTTGTAAAAAAGATTATTAGGCTTCATACAAAACCTTTCTTGTTCTCATAGGTATACAGATCACATTCTAAAGTTTTTTTCTCTCGGAAGTGTGCACTGCTCTGAAAAGAAGCCACCTAAAGATCATGTCAGCTCCAACCCACCTGCAGAAGAAAAGTTGGATGTGCCGCACGGGGACGATTCTTCCCAACCACCACAAAGAGTCAATTTGAAGGATATCCTAAGTGGCATGAAAGTAGAAGTGAGTGCTAAGGAGAAGTTTCTGGAAAAGCGGAAGATAAAGCAAGCTATCAATCATGAAACGATAAGAGAAGGATTGAAAAGTTCCAGCAAGATGTTTCAGATGGCATCAGAAGCACATCTGTCCAATAAGTAAGTTATGGATAAGATGATAAAATACTATGTCATCAAAAGAGTTTTTGTGAAAGATATGGATAATGATTGTGGCCTTGCATTGCTTTAGAGTGGTATTAAAACCAAAAACAAAATTGTAGTATTTTGCAGCTTGCCAATTAAGCCTTAAAGTAGTTCTAAAGGCTGAAGGTTTTTCACCTTCATGCTTCCCCCCCCCACAGCCCTCGCCTGAGCCTCCTCTCTATCCAGCGATGTGCACCAGTGCCTCCATAGCGGATAGCTTGCTATTAGGGGCACTGGTCAAGGGAGAGGAGCAGGGCAATAGTAGGGGATCCTACATTTCCGGGTAGGGGGTGCGCGCGACTGCCCTATCCGCGCCGCTGATCGCGGCCCCGGGTGTCAATCACCGGGTCCCGGCCGGTGATTACCTGCCGGAGCCCTGTGATTACCGCCGATCACCGACCGGGAGGACGGCCGCATTGTTTACAATGCGGCCGTCCTCCCTGTCAGTTTGGGCACACTGATCTGGATGGATGAGCACAGCCATCCCGATCAGTGTGCTTACAGTGAAGCACACACCCAGCCCCCTAGTAAAACACTCCCATCACACAGTTAACCCTTTGATTGCCTCCAAATGTTAAATCCCTTCCTTCCCAGTGCCATTAGTACAGTGTCAGTGCTTTTTTTTTTTTTTTTTTAGCGCTGATCACTGTATTGGTGTCACTGGGGATGTCAATGACACCAAGTCGGTTCCCCCCAGTGTCAAAATGTTTCCCGAAGTCCTGCCATAAGTTGCTGGTTGCCACCATTGTTAGTATTAAAAAAAAATTCCAGTATTCACGTAATCCAATTAATTTACATATACTGTGATTTATTTATTTATTTTTTTCTTTTAGCAAAGACATGTCGCAGAATACATTTTGGCCTAAATTTATGGCTAAATTTGATTTTTAAATTTTGTTTTTCCTGGACATGTTTTATAGCAAAAATAATTGTTTTTTCCTTCTCAAAATTGTTGGCCGTTTTTATTTTTTGCGCTATAAAAAAAAAAAAAAAAAACTGTACTGGCAATCAAATACCACCAAAAGAAAGTTCTATTTGTGGAATAAAAGGACGTAAATTTCATTTGGGTGCAGCGTTGCATGACCATGCAATTGCCAGTTAAAGTAATGCAGCGCCGTAATGCAAACTGCTTTTCTAACCGCTTCCTTCCAGCACCTGCGGTTAGCCCTTATGCTTACTTCCTCACCCCCCTTCCCTTCTTCCCCAGCAAGTGCAGTGTCAGTAGGTCACTGTCACTTAATGCATTGCACACAAAACCGCAGTGTTCGCAGAATCAGGCCTGATCTCTGTTCGCACTTGCCGGTAAATTTGGATGACTCTCAAATGCAGCAGAATGGCTGTACTAGTGCCGTGCTACCTTTTGGTGAACACCAGCTGCCTAGTACATCCTGGTCTTTCACATACCAGCACTGCAGTATCACTTGGTGACTTGGCGAGTCCCATAAGTGCAGTACAAGCTGGTGCAGTAGCGAGAACAAGTATTGTCCCGCAACCACCAAGAATTCGCACACAGGCCCGTAGAGCCTCTAGTATCCTTCCGGATATGCCTGCAAATCCCTATTGGCAGCCCACAAAGTCTGCAGCACCCGTACCCCCCCCCCCCCCTATTCACTGCCCAACCCGGAATTCAAGAGAAAACAGCAAATATAACTACTCCCCTTGATTTTTTTTGGAGCTGTTTTTCATGGAAGATCTGTATGCATTGATTGTGAATCAAATCAATTTATGTGCCCAACAATTTATCGCCGCCAACCCAAATTCAAACCTTGCCAGACCATTCGCATGAAAACCCATTACGGTTTCCAAATTAAAATTTTTTTTACCAACATGGGCATTGCTAAAAAAAAATGAATTGCGGTTGTATTGGTCCACAGACCTGATTCATTATATCCCGTGTTTCTCTGCTGCCATGGCCAGGCATAGATATGAGAGTATAATGTTTTTTTTTTCATTTAAATGACAATACACACTGTCGTCCTCGAGGTGACCCTGAATTTGACCTGCTCCACAAAATTCGGCCCCTCGTAAATCGCCTTAACCAAAAATTTGCAGATGTCTATACTCCCCAGGCAAAAATCTGCGTTGATGTGTCCCTCATTAATTTTTCTGCCAACCTTGCATTCAAACAATTTCTCCCCAGGAAGCGTGCCAGATATGGGGTCAAGATGTATAAGACCTGTAAGAGGGCAACAGGATATACATATAGGATTTGGATTTACGAGGGAAAAGATAGTCAATTGGAGCCCCCCCCAGGATGCCCAGACTACATGGATTAGTGGCAAGATAGTTTGGGACTTGGTTGTCATCCTTTTTCCATATGGGGTACCACTTATACGTGGACAATTTTTATTCAAGCATGCCACTATTTAGACATTTATACTATCTTGGAATTGGTGCATGTGGCACTGTGCGACCTAATGTGTGCCCACCATTAGAAGTGGGTGAATGCAGGGTGGTATATTCTGATGGTGGGCATACCACACACTTTTTCTGGCAGAGATTTCTTTTTTTTTTTTTTTTTTATTCAGCCCACAGGCTGCATACAAAAAAAGAACATAGCATTTAACCCAACAAAGACCAGCGACGTACTGGTAGATCACTGGACTTTGAATGGTTATACCAGGAAGATGCCTACAGCTGCAGGCATCATCCTTGTATCTTTTTTTTCAGCCGGCGATCGGCTTTCATGTAAAGGCAATCCTAGTGGCTAATTAGCTGCAGGATTGCTTTTACAAGCAGGGGGATATGATGCACCCCCCCCCCCCCCCCCCGCTGCCTTCCACAGCCTTCTTGGGCAGTACCTTGTCATCGGAAGAACCTGAGAATGCAGCCGGTGTTTCTGCCAGCTGACCATAGAGCTGATTGGAGACCAGAATGGTGCAAATCATCTCTATAGTCTTAATAAATCGAATGCTACGAGCATTTTATCACTTCAATTTTGCAGGATATAAACAGCGCCATTTGTAAATTGGGAAAGCATCTGATCACACCGATCTTGGTGAGATTAGATAATGTAAGGGCAGTGGAGATATTTAGAGTCTGATAGACCCCAGATTTCTTAAGAAAGAATATATGACAATGCCCATTGAAGATATAAGGGATATTTGCATTCCCTGTGATAGCATTAAAAGTGATCAAAAAAAAAAAAGCACCCTCGCCCCCCCCACACGTGAGCGTTGACCCTGCGCCGGTATGTAAACAGCGGTTGTACCATGCATGTGAGGTATCGCCGTGAATGTCAGATCAAGGGCAGTAATTCTAGCACTAGACCTCCTCCTATAAATCTAAAATTGTAGCTTGTAAAGGCTTTTAAAGCGTTGCCTATGGATATTAAAAATGTATGCAGTTTGTGACTAGAGATGAGCGAATCGAACATGACGAAGTGGAATTCGTTCCGAAGATTTGGAAAAATTCTATTCGCGACGAATCCGAAGATTAGCAAACTTCGGATGCACGAATCGAATTTTCCCAAAAATGGCGGCGACATGTGTGGCGACGGAGAAAATGGACAGAGAAGATGGGGCGGGGATCTCTGGGAAGGCGCGCAGACAAGGCGCGCTGACCCATAATGCATTCATGACATGTGATCGCATTAGCCAATCAGCAGCCAGCCAGCACTGTGTAATGGTGGAGCTATAAATCGTGGCCATCTTAGAATTCTCCATTAGCCTCCGGTCATTCAAGAGAGACAGACCTGTGTGTATTAAGGGACAGAGTTAGGGCCACAGAGACTTTAGGGCCACAGAATCGTTACTCAGGGCCACAGAATCGTTACTCAGGGCCACAGAATCGTTACTCAGGGGGACACAGAATCGTTACTCAGGGCCACAGAATCGTTACTCAGGGCCACAGATCGTTACTCAGGGCCACAATCGTTACTCAGGGCCACAGAATCGTTAGGGCCACAGCTATCAAAGAATCGAAAATTTAAAGTGACATACACCCTTTTTTTTTTTTGGTGGCTGTCGTGCACAGTTGGTGCTGCAGTTTGCCGATTGTGCAAAATAAACTGACTTTCTGCTTCACAACCACTATTGTACGTTCAAAGAGTTAAATCCATTTACACGCCGGCTGGCGGTAATATTTTTTTGGGTGATTAGTGCATTCCAGTGACAGAAACGTACAGTTTCCAGCCAACGGCAAGCTGCAATTGACCGATTGTGTACAATAAACTGACTTTCTGCTTCACAACCACTATTGTACGTTCAAAGAGTTAAATCCATTTACATAGGGTGCTGTATGGCCTCCCATTGCTGCTGCCTCCACCGCCACACTGTGGCTCCACACTCTGGTTTTGGCCCCGTGACTGCCCAAATGAGTGAAGTGTGCGGTGATTCTAAGATCGACGGCACTCATCTGCATGTCATACTGACTGACAGTATTATTTCTCTTCCCCAGCAGACTCCAAGGGCATTTAAATTAAAGGTACAGTGTTCTGCACTAATATAAAGGCTCTCTGAAGCCTAGAAACACCCTTTTTATAAATTTAAATTCGCAAGCGAATATATTCGGCTCGAAGCGAATTTATTCGGTGAATTCGGCGAATCAGCCGAACCGAATTTTTGAATAATTCGCTCATCTCTATTTGTGACCATTGCATGGAGCATGCGCAGTTTTAAAGCATGTCATGTTTGGTATCTATTTACTCGGCGTACCATCATCTTTTATATTTTACCAAATAATTGGCCAATATATTGTGTTTTTGTGCATTAAAAGTAAAAAAAAATTGTATTTTTTTAATTAAAAAATTTGCGTTTAAAAAATCACTGCGTGAGTACTATGTGACATACAAAATTGCAGCACCCACGATTTTATTCACTAGGGTGTCTGCTTTAAAATATATATAATGTTTGGGGGTTCAAAGTAATTTCCTAGCAAAAAATACTGTTTTTTTTTTTTTTTTTTTTTTTTCATGTGAACAAAAAGTAGCAGAAAAGGCTTGGTCTTCAGGTAGT